CTGTCCCTCCAGAGGAACCGTGGACATGATCTTCACTGCACGACAGCTCCAAGAAAAATGCAGGGAACAAAACCAACCTCTGTACATGGCATTCATCGACCTTGCAAAGGCATTCGACACAGTGAATCGCAGCGCTCTCTGGACCATCCTCCACAAAATCGGGTGCCCTAACAAATTTGTGAACATCCTGCGGCTCCTCCATGATGACATGATGGCAACAGTCTTGGACAGCAATGGCTCCCAAAGTGACCCATTTAAAGTGGAATCCGGTGTCAAACAGGGATGTGTTATTGCCCCAACTCTATTCTCCATCTTCATCGCTATGATACTTCATCTTGTTGATGGGAAGCTTCCCACCGGAGTGGAAATAATCTATCGGACAGATGGCAAGCTATTCAACCTCAGCAGACTGAAAGCCAAAACCAAGGTTACAACAACATCTGTTATAGAACTCCAGTATGCTGATGACAATGTCGTTTGTGCGCATTCAGAAGAAGATCTACAAGCCACTCTAAACACCTTCGCAGAAGCATACGAGAAGCTCGGCCTGTCACTGAACATTGAGAAAACCAAGGTGCTGTTCCAGCAGTCACCAGCCAATCCCTCTCCAATGCCAGTAATACAGCTTAATGGTGTAACATTAGAAAATGTGGACCATCTCCGCTACCTTGGCAGCCACCTCTCCACCAAAGTCAACATCGACGCCGAAATACAACACCGCCTGAGCTCTGCAAGTGCAGCATTTTCCAGGATGAAGCAGAGAGTGTTTGAGGACCGGGACATCCGTAGGGAGACCAAGGTGCTTGTTTATAAGCTATTGTCCTCCCAACCCTGCTATGCCTGTGAGACGTGGACTGTCTACAGACGTCACATGCAACTCCTGGAACGATTCCATCAGCGCTGCCTCCGGAAAATCCTGCAAATCTCCTGGGAAGACAAACGGACAAACGTCAGTGTGCTGGAAGAAGCAAAGACCACCAGCATTGAAGCGATGGTCCTCCAACATCAACTCCGCTGGGCCGGCCACGTTGTCCGGATGCCTGACCACCGTCTCCCAAAGCAGTTGCTCTACTCCGAACTTAAGAACGGAAAACGGAACGTTGGTGGACAAGAAAAGAGATTTAAAGATGGGCTCAAAGCCAACCTTAAAAACTCTGGCATAGACACTGAGAACTGGGAAGCCCTGGCCCTTGAGCGCTCCAGCTGGAGGTCAGCTGTGACCAGCAGTGCTGCAGAATTTGAGGAGGCACGAGTGGAGGATGAAAGAGAGAAACGTGCCAGGAGGAAGGCGCGTCAAGCCAACCCCGACCGGGACCGCCTTCCACCTGGAAACCAATGCCCTCACTGCGGAAGAAGATGCAGAGCAAGAATAGGGCTCCACAGCCACATACGGACCCACAAGGAAATCCATAATGGAAGACCATCTTACTCGTCCAACGAGGGATCGCCTAAGTAAGTAAGTAAGTAAGTAACATATATATAGGTAGCAAATTTAAAATTCAGCTGTGACCAGACCCACTTCCTGGTGGGAAAGATCATTCCCTAGTTTGGGCCATCCTTAACTCCTCTCCTAGGTCTAGAGTGAAACTAGCGATCGGGAATGGCCACATTCTATTCCCCCACATTCTGATGTGGGGTAAAAGGCAATTTTAACAGCATTAAAGGACAAAAGATCAGGTTGGTATGTAAATCATCAGACATATGTGAGCATGGCAGCCAATATGAGGTCAGTATGCTTTTTTTGTCCATATAGACAGGTCCCACTGAATCAATGGTAGCTTGATGATACAACACTTATATAAGTTACATAGATTCAGAGGGTCTACTTTTATAATAGGATTCAGGCTTCCCAACTAGATTTGACTGATCTACAATAAATAGAAAAGAGGATGTTCAGTTAGCTGTAATTTTGAACTAAACCAGCAAGTCTGTTTCATTGAACTATTACTGCCTTTGGTGTATTAGAATTAGGAGTTTGCAAACTGACAAAGAAGTATTCTTTTGAAATGACTCTAAATAGTTTATGTCCTACAGGATTTTATATTTAGTAACATGTTTATGGAATTATTTTAAATTTGTGTCCAATATAGATGATAACTGCAGCCATTGGATGCATTTTAGTGATGCTACCAAAGCCAGAAGTTTATGGGCAGAAGAATTATTACAGGAGTTCAAAAGCAATGTTGAATTGCTTAAGCAGGCTGTGAAGGATCAAGATGTAGATTCTCCCACTAAATCCTCACCTCAGGAGTCTCCACAGCACATACAAGCAGGTATCTTGATGTGTTTATTGTTGTTTTATGATGAGAAAAAGGAAGGATCTTCACCAAAGCTGGCGGACTTTGCAGTTCCACTTCCAGTGGAAGTATTTGGCTAGGTTTCCCCCCTTAACATTTGACAATATTTAATCAAACAAATCCTAATCCTAGTTTTTAGAATGGTGATTATAGGAACTGGAGAAAACTGTCTAATGCGGCTACTCAATCTGTGTGGATTTGGCAAAAGGGTAATATCTGATTTAGTAATTGTCATATGGTTTTTAGAAAATCAATTTAATATTGACTGTTAATCTGAATGAATAGGTTTCTTCAAATCTTATTTAGTTGGGGTTTTTTAGGTCATCTGCTACAAGGTTATTTTCTCAGTGGTTCACAATATAGAACAATGTTTAAAAATCATGATTACAAGAAATGCAATTCAGAAGAGACTTTATAGCAGGGCTGGGAGTTAGGCAGCCTTCAAGATGGTAGAGCAAATGGAGGCAAATAATGGGAGTTGCAGTTCTGTCCTGTTTTATAGACTGTCTTTTACAAAGTCATGGAGAGAGTTCAGTTATGGATAAACTATGTCTACTATTTGGGTTATGTCTTTGGTTCTTACAGGCAAGGAACAAATACCAAAAGGAGTCACCAAGCCTTCCTCTGTGTCACCTCAGCAACCAATGGATAAGCTAATGTGCAGCCCTGTTGTGGTTAGGCTTGCAGATGTTAATATTTATCAGGTATATTTCAGTATTAATTGCTGCTGAAATTATGGCTTTACCTGTTTCTTGATTTCTCCAACTCAATAATTTGAGATAAAGTTTGTAATGCTTACATCCAGATATAGTTTAAGATTAGTAGGTCTTAATTATATCTGTTATCCCATTTGGTCCTGAAAATGTTTGTCCTCATGATTGTTGTTGTTGTTCATTTGTTCAGTCGCTTCCGACTCTTCATGACCTCATGGACCAACCCACGCTAGAGCTCCTTGTCAGCCGTCATCACCCCCAGCTCCTTCAAGGTCAAGCCAGTCACTTCAAGGATACCATCCATCCATCTTGCCCTTGGTCGGCGCCTCTTCCTTTTTCCTTCCATTTCCCCCAGCATAATTGTTTTTTCTAAGCTTTCCTGTTTTCTCATGATGTGGCCAGAATACTTTATCTTGGCCTCTAATATCCTTCCCTCCAGTGAGCAGTCGGGCTTTATTTCCTGAAGTATGGACTGGTTGGATCTTCTCGTGGTCCAAGGCACTCTCAGAACTTTCCTCCAACACCACAGTTCAAAAGCAGAGACTTTATTATTTCAATCCTGAAGAAATGTAGCTGGGAAATAATACAAGGTTGCATAGGAAATAAGGTTTCTACTGCTTCTGCTAAGCAATTCTACTACTTGATAAAGAGCCCATTAATATGTGGAACTTTAAGTTGTTCATAAATTAGTTCTTTACCCCTTGTTTTTTCTTAATTCAATAACATAAAAGTATCTTTTAGAAGTATACTTTAAGACATTTTACTATTTTTTATGTTTATTTTGTAGTTACTTTTTCTGAGCTGTGTATAAATCTAATACTTAGGAACTTAGGAACATGTATCATAGGTAAATAACAACAACAACAATAATAATAATAATAATAATGAGATTTTTACCCACAATATAATTGAAGTTTCATAATGTCCTTTGAAGTGGGCAAGGTGAAAAACAATTGTTTACACTTGTTTTAATATTGAATGTTGTGTTTTCAGGTTTCTACAGCAGAGCAGTATCGCCGTTCTCCTAAAACTCTTATTTCTTGTAATAAGAAGTCTCTGTACCTCCCATCAGAAATGCCAGCCATTCATATTGAATTCACGGAATACTACTACCCAGATGTAAAAGACTTTCCTAGTAAGATAGTTTCCCACCCTCTTCAAACTTTCTAAAATACTTGTGAGCATATAATCATCACCTTGCAAAGTTATAGGTCTAGTGTAGATTGTTTAAGCCTCACTAGATACAGAAAAAACACCTAATACAGAAAAATCAGATTCTGCTATTCTCATTGCAACTTTAGGGCTAGGATTTCAGTTGCAATGGAGTATACTCATGAAACCCATGAGTATACCCCATTGCAATAGAAATCCTCACCCTAATCCACAATATCATTTCAGAGAATTACTGTGTTACTTTGTAGAATAGGAGAGAACAGGTGTGAGAACCTCACCATACAAGTTTGAAATGTTTGCAAAAGATTTGGGCTAAAATTTAAAGTTCATAGTTATTTGGCAATAACATTCAGTACACTGATACGTTTTTGAAATAGTTACTCTTTATATGTGATAGATGCATTTAATGTTGAATTAGAAAATAAATGAATAAGTGAAACTTAAATTATTGCTAGTATATAATTAAGAATTGCCAGTTCGTTTTGTTTACGCACTGATATGAATGAACTTTTGCTATATAGAGAATCTTGATGGATTTGAAATGTTTTGTGGGTTTGGTAGTAAAGTATTGTATTTAGCCATCCCCTGATATATACCAGGAATGATCTGAATGAATATAGTGGAAAATTGGAAGGGGAGAAACTCATATATGGGCAGGAGCTACCCCAATTGTCATCTGGGGGGATTCCCTACATTTGAGTTGTTTTGTGGAGTCTTGGTATATATCAAATTGTATGTTCAAATCTAAAAAGATGCAGCTTGGCCTCAGCAACAAAACGGGCCAGGTATGGGAAACTTGCACAAATTAATAACAAATATTATCTCCATACCTCATACACACTTGCATATATATGTATGCTGGCTTTGTAAACAAAAGGGGATTATGGAAAGCCAAGACAGCAGTATGCTCAGGGAACTCCCGACATTTGCAGAAACAGAAAAAAGGGAAGAAAACGTGAGGGAGAATCCTGTCTCACTAAAACTTCAGCCCAATAATGATTTACTTTCTTTGGCTATAGAATGCTAAATATATATTATAGATGGGGAAACCAAAGAAATGTTGCAGGGAGTTGGAAATAAAAATCTAATAGGAAGGGAATGGAGAATCTTGCAGAAGTACATGGCTGGCTGGAATACTGAACAGGAACTTTCCACACAGCAGTGTGCCATTCTTTCTTTTGTTTTGAAAATTCCAATTGTGTTTATGTAATTATCAAAGTAGCATTGCTGGTTCAGTTAGTGCTTTCAATGATAAATTGCAGTTTTTCTTCAGAAACAATGCTCTGTGTGCAGCCAGACTTTTTAGCTGCCCAAAACATGCTATTCATGATATCTCCGTCTACCCCCATTTTCTGGATTTGTCAGTATCTTCAAACATTGCTAGTGAAAATGATGCTAAATTTTTTTAAATGCTTTTAATTATTTTTTGTACTCCTTTTAGTTCCAAACTCAAACCTTTACGTTCAGCTAAATGCTTTGCAGTTCACTCTTGATGAGAGGAGTATTCTTTGGCTAAACCAGTTTGTGCTGGACTTGCAACAGAGCCTTAGTCAGTTCATGGCTATGTACAAATTAAATGACAATTCAAAGTCGGAAGAACATGTTGATGTTCGAGTTGATGGCTTAATGATCAAGGTACAGTTTGCAAAGATACAGCACAAAATTGCTCAATATTGTGCTTCTGCAGTAAATGATGCATGCAGTAAAATAAATGCTTTGGAATGAGAAATTATGTGTGAATTCCATACCATGCATCATGCACAATACCCTCCCCCTTATCACTTTTCTTACTAGGCCTTTCATGCTTCCAGGGTTTTTTAAAGTGTATTTTTGGCTCATTTGGCTGTGGAAATATTAAAACAGTGCAACAGTGCTCTATTCAATTTTCCATGCAGCTCAGATTGATATTGGCTAATCATCGACACTGGCATGTGCAAATTTTTAACCTCCTATAAAATTATTTTGGACATCAGAAGAGAACATAGAAAATACCTCTATGTTGGTGCTAGTGATAAGTGTCTCATAGTTAATGTGAGAAACCTGCAAAACAAGGTGGTACTGGGGCCAAACATTTCACCCTCAAATGGCCTCCCCACAAAGTGGCTTCAGCAGCTGCCTATGCAGGTCTTGTCACTTTGGCTTCTTGCAGCCTCCTACTCCTGTGGTAGACTTTGTGGCTTCACAGATTGGCCTTGCCCCTCGGATCTCTCACAGTTTCCCCTCCTCCACTGGCTACAGTGGCTGCCTCTTCGAAAGTGGCCACTTGGGCCTTGCTTGTGTTTCCCTTCCTTATCTTTGCAATGCATCTGCCTCCCCTCTATGGCTTTGGTGGCTGCCCTTGTTGGCCTGCTTTGCTCATTTTCTCTCCCAATGCTTCCTGCCTGCTCCTGACCTCCACTGCTGTGTATTTCTCAGCCCCTGCTTATATCACCAGTTGGGCCTTCTTCAACCTCTCTTAACTCCCCCAGCCCCAGTCTTGTAAAGATGTCACAAAATGCTATTTGGGTCAAGAGGTTATCATGCTTTTATTTTATTTCTCGTCAGTTTTCCTCAAGGAAGTTATTTTCAAATGTTATGTAATGATAAACCCAAGCATGCTGGCCTCATTCCTGAAACTTTTACTTCCATGTTCTTTTACTCCTTTTTAGCTCACTTAAAGCCACCTGATTGCTACTTTGTTTCAGCCTCAAATGGTCAAAGCTTCAGTGGTCAGAGATATTAGTATATTTTTGTAGTTAACTAGCTGGAGAAATAAACCGTCCTTTGCCTCTTAATAACTTTTGGCTCCCCCCCCCCCCCCCAATAAAATAGCAATTCCTTTGGAAGATTACTTTTCTCATGTATATATTCCAACTCATATTATTTAAGAAGCAATTTATCAAAATGTTCTTTTTTAACCAATTCATGCTTTGTAACTATTTTTTATGTTTCTATTTCAGTTTATTATTCCTTCTGAAAAGAAACCAAATCATAGGGATGGTCCACGTGCAATTTCTATACAGAGTTCTGAAATGATTGCTACAAACACCAGGCATTCGCCCAACTGTAGACACTCTGATTTGGAGGCAGTGTTCCAAAATTTCAAAGACACTGAATTTTTCAGCAGGACTTTCACAAATTTTCCAAAATCTCCTGACTGTTTTAATATTCTTCATCCAATCTTTCAGCGCCATGCCCATGAACAAGATACAAAAATGCATGACATCTATAAAGGTTTTATCACTCCCCAGCTAAATAAATGTGCACTTAAAACATCTGCTGCTTCTGATGTCTGGGCAGTGCATTTCCCCCAGTTTTGGATAGACTATGAAGGAATGAAAAGTGGAAAAGGACGGCCAATTAGCTTTGTGGATTCATTCCCACTTACATTCTGGATCTGCCAGCCCACAAAACTTCAACAATCACTTAAAGAACCCTCTTTGTATAATCACAAAGCACTTAACATTCCAAAAAGTGAGTCCAGTGAGTTTGCTAGTCGATTGCATCATAAAAAACTTCTAAAAGAGTATTATAACACTGAAACAGAAGCCTTGGCCAATGGTATTGAAAATCTGTCCACTAAAAATAGCTCTTTGGGATCCCAGTCTGCATGTTTTACATCTGACGCAGATGTTCACATTCTGGTTCACATCCAAAAGCATGTGAGCATGCAGATCAATCATTACCAATATCTTTTCTTACTCTACCTCCAAGATTCCCTTGTGATGCTCCTTGATAACCTGAGGAATGATGTGGAAACTGTGACAGGGAAACCTGCAAAACAGGCAGATATCTGTATTGGAATCTTACTAAAAAGTGCTGACGTAGCTCTGTTGCTCCATCCAGTGATGCAAGGAGCCAGCTGCAAATCTCCTGCTTTGGAAGAAGAAAGTCCAATTGCATCAGATCTCTCACCTATGGGAAATGGAGAAACACATGGATCAGAAAGCAAGCTAGTTCCTCCTCATTCTGCACAGATGAGCCAATCAGATACTAATATTCTAACTGATTGTCAGTCTGCAAACGCTGATTTTAACAAAGTCAATTTGATAGATCCACTTTTAAAATCAGAGAGTGAGATGGATTTGCGAAGGGGAAGTTCTTGTTCAGATGATACTTCAGAAAAATTTGGGAAACTAAATGATGAAAATAGTAGTGGACTCTTCAGTCGAAGTGATTCAGAAGAAATCTGTGAGTCATTGAGTGACAAAAGCAGCACATATACCAGGGAGCTGGTTAATATGTTAAATTGCAGAGAAGGTTCTATTGAAATGCTGATGGAAAAAGAAGATGATAAAAGTGTGATAACAAATAAAGAAAGTGGTGCAGGAGGCTCACCAGTCAAAGTTTCAGAGTTAGGATTGGATGGTGCTTGGCAGTCCGAAGAACTTGAAAATGACAGAGAAAAAATGACCACAGCTAGACCGCTTGTATTTCAGCCTTCATTAAGGTATAGACATGTTCACATTCAAAAATTATTTGTTTAGATTAAGGGTTGATATCAACACAGTCAAATAAGATGGCTTCCATGTATTCAGGGCTTTAGGCTACTTTATTTGCTATTTTAAGGAAATAGTCTCTCTTTCATGTTGCTGATATGTAGCCTGGCATTTTAAAATGTTCTTCTGTGCTGAGTAGAAACATTCACATAGAAGTGCCAGATGCCACTGGGAGAAGGGGAGAGGGAGCAGGTTTTCAGTAAATAAGATGAAGCGTAAGGAAATGGATGGATAACTTCAGGGATAATCAAGGGACAAAAGAAAAGCAGGCTAGACCAGAAAAAAGTTCCTAATATTTAAAAAAGTACTCATTTGACAGACTGTTAAATAAATGATATTATAGGTTACTCACTTGTCTTATTAATGTCCAAGAAAGTAATGGTAAAGAATTCCCAAGGCGGTAGTAGCCATGCACATTGCACATTCTTTCTAGAACAGTGGTGACACCTGGTGAAGAATCTTCTCTTCATCTTGAACAGTTTAAGAAAAACCTGATCCCCCTGAAAATTCTAGCAGGAATTATAGGCTCATAACTCTTTGAAGGAACAGCACCTAGAGGACAAAACTCTTCCTGTATTTGTGGCTTCAGATAATAGTTTTTATTTCCATCAACACTTGTTTTAATTTTATGCCTTGGAGGATTTTGATTTTCTTTTGTAATTTTTTCCACAATAAGTAATGATTTCCTAATATCTTTATATTAAAAAGTGGAAAGCCTAAGGAACCCTGCCAGTCCAATATCCCTGCATTCTCTGTTTCTTATAAGAATATGAAGAAGAGTCCATCACAAGCCTCTTTGGATACCATTTCTACTGACAGTATGTTTTTGGAGGAACACTATTTGGAAAGTGATGGAAGTGATAGTCAAAGTTTTTTGGAAAAAGGTAAACAAAATTACTGGTGCATTTAGTTTGAAATAACACTGCATTTAATCATAATCTATTTTGAGTTTTCCCTTGATTTCACTAATGACTACCCTTGCTTTATTGTATACCTTAAAAATAAATGAAGATCTTGATAATACTTGTAGCTTTCAAAGGATCCAGTTGGGGCTTCCTAGATTACCATTACTGAAGAAATTTTATACATTTTGGTTGTTCCTTTAATTTGTAGTCTTTGTAGCTGATGAGTTTTCATGTAAAATTACTGACAGCATCATTAATGCCATTCAAGCAAACTAGATTCTTAGAATATTCCTCATAAATCAATTGCAAATTGCATCCAAGTCCTGTCAGTGATTTGACAGCCAAGTTGTAATATAAATCAGATATTTCATTCCTATAGAGATGGAGCTTGGCTTGGTGTTTAGAATATATTATTAGCTTTCTGTATTTTACAATGCTTTAGATATGCTTCAATATTATGAGGCAAATGTTTGAGAGAAAATTTAAAGTAAAGGTGCAAACAAAATTGTAAAAGATCAACGTGGGAAACAGAATATTTTTGTTTAATATAGTTTAATTGCGTGCCTTCAAAACTTTTGTATTTTTTTATCTTTTGGTAATTATCACTGTAGGTTGTCTTTCTCTTAAAAACTATATCTTTGCCGCCTTTGCAGAAAAATAATATTTTCTTAAAACATATGAAAAAAAGTAGAGAAACAAACATATAGCATTTTTAAAACAGAAAGTACCCATAGGATTTGTTTTGTACAGTGTTAGTCAAATTTCCTCCTTTGAATCTGCTAATCTCTGTTATGGATTGATAAGACTTCTCAGTAAGACAACATGCATAGTTTATAGGACAGCTCAAACCCTCTTGCACCATATTGTGCAAGCTGTGAGAAGCAACTCTGAGTTGATGCAAATTTAATGTGATACAAGGCTAAAAAATATGTCCTGGTTCTTGTTACACTTCTGGTTATTCTGAAAGTGTTGACATGTCTGTGTTATTGAAGATTGATGAAAGAGAAATGTTTAAATGATAGGTATACATTTTTGGGGGCTATGCTTAATTATTAATGAATTGCTTAACCCTTTTGCCATAGATTCTTAAATACTATACATTGGTTAGTAAAATAACTATCCACCTCCCACTCAAAGTCAGTTATTTCAATGAAATATTTGCAAATTGTGCTTTAAAACAAGGGGTCCAATCTTACCTCCCAGTGTAAGCCAGTGAGTTTGACAACTTGCAGGGGATTTTCTGTGTTAGACAGATGATCTTAATTCTACCAGGTCAATAAGCCTCATCTGTAAAAGTAAAGCGATGGATTAGCAAGTGTATCTGATTCTTTCTTCTCTCTCATTCCCATCTTATATAAAGAATTTAATGAAGTGTTTAAAAATAATTTGAAATCAGCCTATATGTGTTCTTTTATAGCTTATCTTGCTTGGTTTGATGTGGAACAACATTAAGTTTAACTGAATGATCTACTCTTCTTAACATCATTGACATAGTTTTATGAATTATTGACATAGTTTTCTGAGTAGAAAGCATCTAAACATATGTCTTTTTTAATGCTATGGGTATGCAAGCTATCTTGTCAAACAAACCAGTGGAAAACACTCCTCATGAAAGTGCCGTGGTGGAGAACTGTGGTGGATCATCTCCAGATGTCCTCAGTGCAGCTTCAGAAAGTGCTCCAGAATCTAGTGAGGAAATGGTAATGCTTCTCAAATAAAGATAACATATTCATGCATTTTTATGCAGTAGGATTGTTTGAGCAGTTCTCTGGTTGAGAAAGCTGAAATTTACTACTATGAAAAAATTGATTGGTAGAAATTGTAGTAAGGAAAGATGATATAGAGAATGATACTTCATAAAACAGAGAAAATCTATATCATTTACTCTGTTTTAATGACTGCTATCATAGATATTGGCAGGCAGCCACTGATTTAGCACATGAATTTGATTAGAAGCAATGTTAAAAATACATTTGTGATTGCTTTTTTACCTGAAAGGTTTCAGACAACAGATGGCCATTTTCCTAAAACGGTGTGAATGGATAGGATTTGTAAATGTAATTACCCACCTCTCTGACAAAAATATACATTTTCTCCTGTAATTCAGTCACCTCTCGGAGCATGAACATTTCATTTTTTCATAGATATGCAACATATGCAAAACTTCTGAAGTTCAGATATCATTAATTTGAATCGAGCTTGTGTGAATATAGCAGTTGGTGGATAGCTGTCAAAACATAGAGCATGTAGGACGCACTGAAAATTATTTAATGTTGTATTTATTTTTAACACCCCACCCCTATAATATACCAAAGCAGTACACAGTAAAATTAGTGGTGCCAAAATAAGTCATTTTAAAAATCTCATTCCTTACATACTGTCCAATGATTGATAAGGTCCTGATGCATTTTGTAAACCTAGAGGGATTGCAGTTTTAAAAAATAAACAACACATCTAAAAATATGGATTGTTGCAGCCAACCAATTTTCCATAGCTTTGATTCCATGGATGAGAAAGAAAAATCCCAAGAGATTGATAGATAGTAATACTCTATGGATGGTATGTGTAGCAGAGACTAGAGTGAGCTGAAATCCAAAAGAATACATATTTCCCAGACTACATAGATAATTTTAAAGTTATTGGCCAACATCTTAACTGAAACCCAGAAGCAAATTGATAACTGTTGAAGCTCAGGTGTAGTGTTTAAAATCCCTGGCTACTTCCGTCAACTTACGCACTGCCCATTTTTATATTTTTAAAAATGTCAAATGTAGCTACAGCTGACCTCATTACAGCAGTAAGGATAAAAAGTAACCAAGACTTTATCCACCCGGAGGAAAGTAGCTCGTGTATCGGATGTAGTCAATCCAATATGCTTCTGGCCACAATCCTATTTCAATGAGAGTGTGATCCCACCCCATGCACATGTTTCAACTCTTCCAAGCCAGATAAATAATAAAAAAATCTGTTTTTATCTGAATTCATTCCATTGTAATATGAAGAGGTTTTTTTTAGTTTGGGTAGGCTTTTGGACTACTTGATTTTTTCCCCCCACCACATTATAGTGTATATATTCAGCTAGCGGCACATTGTTCAATTCTTCATGTTTTTAAAAATAATTGATTATAATAATCAACTGCATTGGTAATTCCATTTATCATGGAAGCCAGTCTATGAATTACCAATGCAAAAATTAAAAAATAAGAGGACAATTCAAATATTTTTACAGCATCATCAAGGTAATATTGTTGACTTCCTTCCATTGGGTATCACTGACATAAAACGATTATGATCTATTCAGCAATATTTATCCTTTAAAGTGAGGAGCAAAAGTTCTCATTGGGCTACAGAAATATTTTTTAATGGTAGGTAGCCTGTTACAGTTTCAATTTTTAAGTGTTGCTTCTGTACAGTATTAGCATTGTCATTTGAAGAAAACTGGTGATGAAATTTGATGTTTTAGAGGTTAATTTATAATCGTATTTTCATTTTGTTATCAGATGTCTGTTCTGGTTTTTAAAATATTTGGTATTAATGGTGAAATTGACATCAAAGGTGAAGACACAGAAGTGTGCCTTCAAATAAACCAGGTCATCCCAAATCAATTAGGCAACATCAGTGTTCGACATTATCTCTGCAATCGAACAGCAGGTAAGAACTAATCTAATATGAAAATACACTTGTTTTCACACTAGTGGGAAATGCCTTTAAGGATCTCTTTCTTTTTAACAGATTATGAAAATAGGTCACTGCCTTTCCTAATTAGACACCTTTGAGGTTTTCATCTTGTAAAAAGGTATTTGTTTGCTTTTTTGAAATCATTATTTTAAAAAGGCAAAACCTATTTTTTTAAAAAACCCTACAGCCCTTTATGGCAATTATGGACCCTAGGAGACCTTGGAGCTGCATCCTCCCCCCCCCCCCCCCCCCCCCCGGCAATGACTCCTGAAACCCCGTCTCCCCATTTGTGCCCTCAAATGTCACTAAACACCCTCTAGCAGGTGTGGGTTATTCTCGCCAATTATGGAGCCTTTCTCAGCCATTTTAGGTCCAAGAGAGGTAGTCTTTAAAGCAGTCACTTCTTGCTCACCTGAGGTAGGCTATGAAATGTGGTATAAATCCCCCATACCGCTTAGAGAATATTGGGAAAAACATTTTTTTATTTGAAAAATTTCACAAAAAGATTTTTTTTAACCAAGGCCCTCCCCGGAGGATCAAGGGAGTATTCACATATGGTGAAAGTGTCTTCTACAAAGTCCAGACGTAGTATTGAGGGCATTTTGATGCCTAGGGAGTCTGTGGTGAGGTGGGGCACAGCCCATGGGCCTGATTTTGCCAGTCCGTTCTTCCATATATGGCTTCTGTTATATGAAAGATTCCACAGGCTTTCTGTTTAATTATTTATTCCATACATCCTTAGCTGTCCTTAAAATGAATGCTTCATTCTTTGAAAACTCAGCATTGAAGACAAGATCTATACAAGACAGAATATTTATTTATTTTTTCTGATTAATTTCCTTCCCATTTCCTTGGTTAGTGTCTATAAGAATGTGTGTGTTTATATATAACACAAAGATTAAGGAAGATGGTTGACAAAATATGAAAGATTGGCATTTCTAGGTTGCACAGTGTTGGAAAATAGCCTATGTTTGGGTATACTTAATGCCCCATAAATTCATTGCTTTTACAACAGGTTCTAATCCTAAATCTGTGACTGGACCTGTTAAACCAACACCAGAAATTAAACTGAGATGGGAAAGTGGACCCAGTGCTGCGATACATTCATTGCTATCTGAAAAAAATGGATTTCTACAATGTCATGTGGAAGATCTGAGTGCTGATTTCTTAACTTCTACACTTATGAACATTCAGAGGTTTTTGGAAGATGAAATGCTTGCAGAAGTGATGCCTATGAATATAAAAATTTCTAATTCAAGGATTAATTTGAAAGTATGTCATTCTTGAGTGAGCTGGATGTTAATATAGAATGTGTTTTAGTATTTTTGCCTACTTTTGCAGAAAACATTTCAGAACATAATGGTAGATGGGGCTTGTGTAAAGTTTTTTTTCAGAATTAGATATTGTGGGGTGTTTTTACATAGTCGCTAGTGGATTGTAATTGACTTACTATGGGACTATTGCAACATTAGATACTTTATATATGTTTTCAGGAAGTATGTTGCAAGTTCACAGTATGTTCATTGAAAAGTGACTGTTTATTATTTACTTTATGCTACATCAGTAGACTGTTGTTTTCACATGCATTTGTCACAATGTTTAAAGCCCTAACAACATTTTGGTTGCATCGTATCTTAGTTCTCAAATGAACTATTTGTTGTATCAAATTTATTTCAGTGTAAGTGCTGCAATGTGTGGGAGTATAGGTCAACTTCATCTTATTCTTCATTTCTTTTCAATAACATCAGTGTACTAACCCTTCACCACAAATAGATGAGGGATAACATTGCTGCAAGGCAGTGCAGTTCCTCTAAAACAAAATGAAGCCAAACAAAACTCTAACTGTATCAGAAGAGACTACTCTAGCAATGGAGATAATACATATTTCAGTAAAAAGATGAAAGATTTCTGATTTTCTCCCGTACAAAACTGAAGTACTATGATATAGTATTTTTGCAATGGTAGGGAAAATACAAGCTGTAGAATTCCAAAAACAAATGTTTGGTTCAATATTTGAAAGTGTTTTCTACCAAAAGAAGCAATCACAGCAACACGGGATAAGTCCTACTATCTTTGCTTCCCATCCTAAAAGATTGGAGTTCTCATTCATTTTGCAGCTTTGACTTAACTGAGTTTTCTTTAAGTGAGAGGTTTGGGTCCACTTAGATTTTGATCTTTATAGTACAGTACAATTCTCAAATTTGACTTAAAGTCATAGAGATAGGGAAGGTGTGAAAAAGGTGTTGGAATTTAACCATTTATTCAGTAAGTGATAGCTTAGGCTTTCTTATGTGCATTTAAAAAGCACGTATAAAAACTTTTTTTATGGCCAACACATCTTGAAATAGCAAAAGAGTTCATTGCTATACAATTGCTTTCATTTGTTTTCCCATTTTTTGCAACCATTGTAATCTCTGGAACTATAAGTAGGAGCACAGAAAATGTTTGAAGATTTCTAAGTGTTATATTATCTTCAATAAATTTTCAGTTTTGCCTGCTTGGGCAAGAGAAGACTTAAACTAGAATTTTCTGAAAGTGAGAGTTGATTCCCAGAGATTATACTGGTGGATTATTAAACACTTAAAAGTATTTGTTTTGTTGTTATGGGCTTCCAAATTAGCTTTGACATATACCAACTCCATGAGCAAGAGACCACTAAGAGCTACTGTTACCTCCAAGATACCCAAGGACCACCTCAGTTCTTTCAAACTTAGGGCCATAGTGTCCTTGGTTGAGTCAACCCACCTATTAACGACTTAGGAAATGGTCAATAAGATAACTTCAAGCTATCATGCCATCCTTTTTGGGCAGCATTTTTATGCTATAATTTTGACTGTTTGCCTTGTTTCTTTTACATGTGCGCTATATGTGTCTGTGTGTGTGTGTTTCATTACCTTCATGATACCAACATCAGTAACCTGAGTGGTGCATTTGCAGAAGAAGAATGGGATAGAAACACTTGGGGGGATTGGAGGAAATAGTGGATAGGAACAACAGCTCTTTGAAGCAATAGCCATAATGCAAGCTAAGTTGTTGGAAGTGCAGTTCTTCCCTTAACTGACTATAATGAAATGTAGGTTATACGAACATAGTCACAGTTATATTATCTAAGTGAAAACAGACTTTGAACATTCTATATCTTTCCAACAAAATAACAGGAGTATTTTCTGTCTCTTCATTATTTATGGATAGAATCTTGTTAAGGTACTGCGTGCTTGTAGGTAGACTTGCATTTGTGAGAGATAGAATTGCAAAGATGCATGATGTTGGTGTCCAGTAGCAGGATGCTGTTGCATAACCAAGGAATAGAGCTGGCGAAGGAACCAGTACACAATGGGAATGAAACCAATCAGGACTGATGCACTATCAGGCCCACCGTGCATATCGGGCGCCCCTAATGTACTCCAGGCAGTCTTGCTAATGTTTCATTAATCATCTTTCCAATTCAATAACCAGGTTTCTCTGTACCTCTGATACTTAAATACACTCAAATTTACATTTAGTGAAAAGTCATATAGATTCCAGGCATTTAAAAAAAATCCAGGGACTTCTTTCATGCCTGATTGTGCTATATGTTTAATGTTTCTACACAATTAAAAACTTTCTTCTAGACTAAAAAATATCACAGGGAATTTTATACACTCAGAGGTTATCAGTCTTTTCGGGATGTAAACCAGTATTTTTGAACAATTCTGTTGCTTTCATTTTCTAGGATGATAGCCCACGTGACAGTCTGACTGCTCCTGAACCACTCCCAGTAACACTCCACATTGACCTACTTATTGTAGAAAGAAAAGATGATGGTTCATTTTGCATCAGAGGTGTGTGTCTTTATCTCCACTTGTTTTTAATTTTATTAGCAACCTTGGAAGAACGTGAAGTCCTCTATGGCTCAATTTTCTAATGAGTCAGTAATATGTAAACGTCACAGAATTATATATATTATTTTTCATATTTGATAGTTGAGTATGACATGTGAAGGCATGAGTCTCTGTGACTGACTGCAAGGAAGAAAAGCACTATACCTATCATGGTATATTAGGATAGTAAAGTATAATTTAATATTATATTAGCAGTGGATATATTAGCAGTATTGTAGTACTGATAGACAGCAGTGCAAAGGTTTCTGAGTGTTCATATCCTTTATGATTACCATTGTTAAGTTTAATATTTTTATATTGATAATTGTATGTTTTTAAATTTTGTTTTTGTATCTGCTGTCTTTGTGTAATCGTTTTCTGATTTATTTTAAACAGATAACCGAATACTTGGTAATGATGTACCAAATAGTAAGACAAATAAAAATACAGGTGATGCCATTTCGGAAGGTAGTACGCACAAAAATTGGAATAGTCTGTCCCAAGCCACACAGACATCTCCAGAAATTAACAGATCTTCTAAAAGTTTGAGTGCTGTATCAGATTCAGTTAAAGAACAGGTAATCCTCATGAAAAAAATACTCTGCATGAAAAAGAATTCAGAAATATTGTTTGGATTTTAAACAGCATTTTTGTGCAGTTGTCAAGTCCAAAAACTTTTTGTTGGAGGGAATTGGAAGCGGTTGTTTGTATGCTTTAGCCTTGTTCATTTTGGGGTTACTGAATAACGATGAGTTATGAAGGCCACTGAATGTTGTTGATGTCTTGCTGGCGGAACCTAAATACCTCACTCAGGGCAGGTAGGTTTATTTTCTTATCAAAGATGATTTCCTGCCCTTCTCCCAGTATAAGCCATTGACTCAGAATAACTACGGCAATTTCTGTGCCAATAAAAATGACATTAAATGAAACTAAGATATACCCAGATGTAACTGCCACAATGAGCTATATATGTTTGTAAATAAATGAGTGTAATACAATGCTTTACCAAAGAGATCTGTTTTCTTGGCCAGAAAGCACCATATAGTTACTATGCTAGAGACAATTGCGTTTCAATTGGAAGAAGGCTAATAGGGAATTAATGATGATGATATACATTTCTTAGACTCCCTTTCCATGCATCTTTCAGCAATATTGGAATATGCAACATTTAAATTACCTACTCATTTCCTCTTTCTAAAACGTGGCCTAAAACTGGCCCAGCAGGGAAATTACATATAAATAAGAAATGGTGGCCACTAGAGATTTCTGAAGTTGTAGCTTCCTATTTGGAGGGTGAATTTGTTATGAGTTTCAGAGATCAGAAGGAATTGAGTTTGAGGAATAAGAAGGGATGCATCAGAAGAGGGATAAAGTGACCCCTGGACCTTTGGAGGTTTCCCAAGATGCTTGCAATCGGGCCAACAGACTCCCTTATAATAATCCGCATTAAATTATTGACTTCTTAACATCTAGTAGAGGTGCACTTTCATTTCATTACTATCAGGAATCTAAATGATTCTGCGCTTCCCATAAACAGCTGTGATTGGTAGTTCCTGTACCATAGGGCAATTCATGCATGCAGATTTAGTCCATTAAAAAGGACTGCAAAGGGTGGAGATGGGAGGGGAAAAAAGAAAGAAAAAGAATCACAAAGCATTTGTGTGAAGTGTTTTTGATCATCCTGCCCTGGATCACAATTATCAATATGTCCTGTGCCTGCCCTAATAGAACAGAGGCATGGATTGGTGCCAGGCATCCCACTGTCCACAGTAATAGCAGCAACAGCAATCTTACAGGGGAGATATATGAAAGTGTTATGTAAACACTACAGTCAGTGGAGAAAACAGTCAAGTGTTTTAAAAAGTGTGTTGGATATATACTTGTTCATTTTCAATTTACTTGTTCATTTTCTAGCAATAGTTCTGTTGCACAGCGGAATTAATTGTGATTGTTTTCTTGTTTATGATGTCATTTATTTAATTTGAGATCCCTGCCCAATATAATTTGCTGAGGTAAAACATTTATAATGCTTTGTGGAAAAGTAGATGCAAAATTACCATTAAATGCTTTCCCAAATTGAGCTTTGTTTAATGTGTAGGGGAAAGATGATTTATAAATACTTTCTTTGCCAAAATATTGAATGAGTTATATATACAAAACTAAATACTTTATTTTTTTTATCTTCTTGTTTTAGCTTATAGAAGAAAATGAATGTCTTAAACAGGAATTAGCCAAAGCTAAGATGGCTCTTGCTGAAGCTCACATGGAGAAAGACACTCTGCTTCACCAAATAAAAAAGATGAATACTGAAAATAAACAGTAGCAGACTACCTGTACTGTAGAATAAAAAGGGATGTGTTTCATTTTTACACTTGAGCTCAGAACAAAATTTCTGTACTATATTGTTCTTCTGGGAATATCAACAAAGAATTATAATGTTTTTTCTCTTTTAGACTTGCTTTATAATGCAGTGAGGCAGGGAATATAATTTTTTATTATATGTTACTAATTTGTTTAATAGATGGTGGCATGAATAATTGAATAAAATGTACCATGTGTATAGGGTATCTTCATTTGTGAAGATTAAACTGTTTTGTTGTTAGAAAAAAAATACTATGTGGGGGAGATGAACTTTGCACTATAAAGACATTTAGTTATAAATTGTCTGCTATTGCTAGTAAAATGTGATGTAACCCTTCAGAGACTGGTCTAAAAACCAGTAGAATTTGCCTGGGAAGTGTCTTCTGTATCATGCACAGACCTTCAAGATGCGTTAATACACTGGAACTACTCAAAGGTTTTTGGAAAAGATGTGTGTTGCTGAAAATGAGAAAAAAATCTAGCTGTGCAGAAGTCATGTTAATATTCTGTTCATCCTTATTCATTATTTTAGGCCATTGGAGTGCTGCCCAATCATCCAGGCAGTGACTTGTAAAATAAAGTATCATTATTAGATCGGGGTTTGCTTTCACTAATGATTATTGGTCATTTGTAGGCATAATGCTTACTCTAACTCAAGCCCCATCTACACTGCCATTATAACACAGATTGAACTGCATTATATGGTTAGTGTAGACTAAACATATAATGCAATTTAATTGCACTGAACTGGATTATATAAGTCTACGCTGACCATATAATGCAGCTCAGCCTGCATTATAATGGCAGTATCAATGGAGCCTCAGTGAAATTCACTTACTCTTGATCTGGTACAATCTTTAAACATTTTATTTTTGTAAAAAGTGTAATCTAGCTGTACATTGCACATTCAATTGTTAATCGCTCTATTGAGTTGGCAAAATTCCATACAATGTAAAATGTCATTTTAAATTATGAGTTGTAAAAAGACTGAATTATAATTAGCTGAAAACAGCGACAAATGTATAAATAAAAAATACAAACACATGCAAAATATGCTGATATTTTTTTTTGAAACAGTGAGCAAAACCATGTTTGAGTCTATCATATTAGTACAGGCAGTCCCTGAACAAAATAGGCTCTGTAGGTTGGTTCTTAAGTTGAACTTTTTTTGTAAGTCGAAACAGGTTCATTTTCATGTGCAACCCCACCCCTCCACCCCCCATATATAAGATAGCATACGGATAGGGTTTAGCTGTCTGTGGATTCCATCACACTTTCTGTCCCTGTGATCATTAGATTTTGAAAAAAATGTCTCATTGAAGATTGGTGATAAAGCTCCAGTTGAGACACCTTTTCCCCACGATAACTCTTCCAGGAGTGAATTTCCCTTCTGAGGGGTAGATTTCTCTCACTTCCTGTTGTATCATCCCCATTCTTAGCTATGAGTCATTTGTAAGTTGGATATTTGTAACTTGGGCACTGCCTGTACTCTTTTGAATTGACCCCAAATTAATTTCAATTCAGAGGCATTTGGCTTTAGATTCTGTTTTACACCAGATCCTACACGCATATAGTACTTCTGTTCATAAACCCCAGTATTTATTTTATTTATTTCCTACATTTATACCCCGCCCTTCTCTCTCTCCCCCCCCCCCCGAAGGAGGACTCATCTAGGCATCTACCTTCACTGTTTAGTATTAGCATTACTTACAGTTGGTTCATCTGTAAATATTCTTTTTAAATTATTCATGAAATCATCAGAGATATGTGGGTGTGTGCTCTAAATCACTCTCCTTATGAATCTCTTATGCTTCTGCACATCCATTAACAGCGTTTGTTGATGCTGAATAGGATAAACTGTAAATGCCCTTTCTGCCAAGATGTGAAGCAATGCAGCACTGTGCCTTGGTCTCAATCTAAATTTCCAAAATGATGCTTTGAATCAAATTTTGGAGACTTTACTGCTGCTTCAGCATTTTTCGTTAGGCTACTCGGATCACTGGAAGTGCTTTTAGTGGTTTGATGCTCTGTGATGACCTTCAGAAATTTGCTGTAGTATTTTTCTCTGATTCGATCAAGTCCATTGAAGCAGTTTGAATTATTATTTTTTTCTGTTCAGTTTGCTGTATCGGACTGGCAACTTCCATAATCTCAGAGCCTTGTCTGCACTCATCTCGTTTTTCATGGTTTCTCTCAGTAGCTAATTTCAATTCCTCCGTCTCATTATCATTTGGGGACTGAAATGTCTTTCTTAAGTCTTTTTTTTTAACATCCTCAGAGTTCTGTTGGATAGTGGTAATCTCCGAGGTGTACTTTTTCTATATCGTCAATCAGCTGCTTGGTCATCATTGGGATGGAAACCTTGTTTTTTATTTCAGCTTGCCACTTTTTAAAATATCCACCACTCTTTTCTCCTCTCTTGCCTTCTTTTTCATTTCAAACATGTTTAATTTTCAACCTGCATGTTTAATCCTACCCCTGACTGAAATGGAGAAGAGAAACTTGTGTCATGTTGGTAAGGCAGGATATTAAAAACTGTCAGAAGAAAGAAGTGGTCCAAACAACAAGTGAAAAAAAAGTGAACTCCTGCCTAATTGGTTTGGAATCATAGATATGGAAAGACCGTAAGAGCCATCCAGTCCAACTGCCTGCCATGCAGGAATACACATTAAAAACACTCCTGAAAAATGATCTTCCAGCCTCTGTTTAAAATTTCCAATGAAGGCAGCTCCACCACACTCTGAGGCAGCATATTCTACTGGTGAAATGTTCATATCCCCCTGATATGCCGTCATAACATTTATCAAAAACAAAAGTTATGCTATGGAGATCGAGTAAACAGTACTAGTCTCGTGGCTTAGTTATGCTTGAATGTTTTAAATCTGGTACAATGTGAGCAGCAGACATGTAGATTGTGCATTACCTGCTTTTACAGTGACATGCAATATGTGACAGTGCATTGGGACTAGGTCATTATGGCTTCACTGTATTCTTTGCTGCCCTGTTAAGAATAAAAACAGTTTGTGGCATTTTGACTCCACTGATTAATGTCCTACCTTGCTATAGACATTTTAAATAGCAAAGCGGATAGTGGAAAAATGACAACATGCTGGTCTTACTGCACTAAAGATGATCAGTGTTACATTTTTACACATTCTGCTGCAATTTCAAGGAAAAGGGAATGTAGCATTTAAACTGACAATTTTTAAAGCAAAGACTTACCATTTTAAATAGGTTTGATACCCAATTAAATGGAAAGGTTCAAGTTCTTAAGGCTGTTAGAAATGTTAACCTTTATCTGTTATGACAGAATACTTTAGTACATCAAAAGTACATGTTGCTAAATCTACAGAACAAGAATTAAAATATAGCAGATACTGTCTTTTGCAGAGTTGCAAACAGGGTCCCTGACTTTTCCTCAAAGTTTTTGCCACAAAGATTTATTTTTTTTAAATAACACCACCTACTACTAAAAAAAATATAAGCAAAACCAGATTGGACAAAAAGAGTCCCAGCTATTGCTTTGGCCTTACTGATATATTTTTTTCAGTGTAATTTACTAGGATAAAATATATCCCTTTTTTTTCCTTCAGATGATGGCCAGATGCAGAAAAGTACTCTGCTGTCTGTAGATCGACCATATTTAAAGAGCATTGAAATTCTCATCACAGACAGGAAATACAAGCCATTTACATATCTAAACAATGTTGCAAACCCTCAATACCCTTGAGGCAGAATATATCTAGCAATTTACAATTCATTCGGTGCAACTTCTAAAAATAAATTCAGGTGCATCAATAGGCCTTTTAAATGCCAGGATTATAAATTATATCAATCTTGTGAATGAAGCATGGCCTTCAAATATTCATTATACTTTGAGACAATCATAAATTGTAGGGAAATCTGACTTGTCACTTGTGGCCATATCAGGGGTTTCCTCTATCTGTATTTCACTGCAAAAAATTAAATTATAAATAAATCAATTGCCTTTAAAAACAAGCAAAATGTTGACAACTACAGGTACTAACTGTTTTATTCTTTGTAAGTGAAAATGAGAGAGATAAAATTTTATATCTTCAGTATTCATAAGCATGCCAAATATGTTGATGGATTAGCAAGGGAAATCAAGTATCTGCCAAATCTTTTCTTTCACTTTAGAAAAATCAGAGTGCTAGCAAAAGTTATTAAGGAAATGGTCTTATGCTGATGATAACTACATTTTATCAAATTATTGTATAACTAGACAGTGACATAATGCTCTCTCTACTAGTGTTTTCTATTGTTTACAACTTTAGTGAATGGGCTTCTTGGTTTTATATCATCAACACACGTCATTCAAGTTCCAACCAAACAAAAGCACTACATAAGCTGGCTGAATACATCCAAATTTTTGAAAATGTGTTTTTACCATCTGCTGATGATATGTTTCCCTTTGCTTCAGACTGGAGAAATTGTAGGGAGTACCAGCTTCTCCATCTAGTGGGGACTTTAAAACTTTTCGTTGGATCCCAAATTGTGCTATTGTACAGAAATTCCTTTGAAATGGAAAAGAACACAAATAGAATCTTTATTTATCTAATAATGGCAATTGAAAACTGGCTATTGAAAGTTTGGGATATAATGAATATGGATCTGCTTAAGCAAAAATTAACAGACAATAATATACAAAGACAAAAAACAAACTGGGAAAATTTATTGAATTTATCAGAAAAGACGACATAGAAATTCATATTCAGGAAATATAATAAAGTATCAAAGGCTAAAGTTCAGAGAGAAACTAGACAGCAATCTGACTGAAAATCTAACAAAAAGAGTTAACACAACCTAAAGCAACCTGAAAGTTATATACAACTTATTCATTCTTCTTCTTCTTTTTGCTCACTCCCTAACCCCCATCTCTTCCCTTGTCCTACTTTTCTTTCACATATTGTTCTCACACTTTTGTTGCAAACGTATCGTGATTTTACAAACTTCTCTCATGCTCCAATCTCCCTGAGACAATCTATTCTCAATAAAAATTGACAAGCTGGAATGTGTCCAGAGGAGGGCGACTAAAATGATCAAGGGTCTGGAGAACGAGCCCTATGAGGAGCACCTTAAGGAGCTGGGCATGTTTAGCCTGAAGAAGAGAAGGATGAGAGGAGATATGATAGCCATGTATAAATATGTGAGAGGAAGCCACAGGGAGGAGGGAGGAAGCTTGTTTACTGCTTCCATGGAGATTAGGACAAGAGAGGAGATTCCATCTGAACGTGAGGAAGAACTTCCTGACTGTGAGAGCCGTGCAGAAGTGGAACTCTCTACCCCGGAGTGTGGTGGAGGCTCCTTCTTTGGAAGCTTTTAAACAGGCTTGATGACCATCTGCCAGGGGTGATTTGAATGCAATTTTCCTGCTTCTTGGCAGGAGATTGGACTGGATGGCCCATGAGGTCTCTTCCAACTCTTTGATTCTATGATTCTATGAAAATAATTTGAAAAAAAGAAGAAATTCCTATGTAATGATGGATTCTGCAATCAGTCATCCACAGCTTGAAAAATACATTTTTTTAAAAACCCCAAAAGACAAACCTTGATTTTGCTATTTTATATAAGGGGTATCATTTTACTACACCATTGTATATGAGACTTGAGCATCTGTGGATTTTTGGTATCCATGGGGGTGGGGTGGTCCGGGAACCAAACCCCAACAGATACAAAGGATCCATTGTGATTGTTGTCCAATGGACAGATGACTATTGTAGTTCTTTGTGAATGTTTGGGAATGTAAATGTCTCAGTGCAATGATTCATACCAAATAGCCTAGGTACACTGCATCAATGCTGAATAGAGTATCAACCTTAAACATAACATTCCATTTATTCAATGGGTCTTATGCGAATGGGAACTTGCATGAATATAAATCTACTTATTTGAATGCAATACAAAGTAGTACTACAGCTTTAGTAAGAAAACATATTTATATAGTTGAAGGAATGGGATATTATCAAATAGGTTCCAAAAAAGATGCAAACCAGGAACCCTGTCCTAATTTTCAAAAGGCATGAGCCCTGC